ATATATTGGTCAAAAAAGATGGGGAAAAATTACAATAGCAGTCCATAATCTTTTTATTTTTGCAGTCTTTATCTTAACTTTCATTTTGTGCCTGTAAAGGCTTCTACCTTTCATAAATATGTGCTCGAGGTCTATCTGGACGGAAACCGTCCAAAACACCACCAGTTGACAGAAAAATTAATGAATCAACATCCAATAAAACCGTCCAAAACACCATCAAAAAAGGTATTAACATTCAATAAAATCATACGATAGTAGATGATTCAAAAAAAATTTCATGTCAACTGACGGTGTTTTAAACGGTTTCCATCCAGTTGGACCTCATGTGCATATTTATGAAAGGTTAGGGAATTTCGTTGACACAAAATGAAGGTTAGGATAAAGTTTGTAAAAAATAAAAAGATTAGGGACCGTTACTGCAATTTTCCCAAAAGATTGATTGATTTGTGGATTATCTGATGAGCGAGTATTGCGAAATCCAGCTTCAAATCTCCACCTAAGAAATTAGTTACTGTTTCTCAGATCTAAAGTGAAATTCAGAGATGGCAGAGATTGCAATGGCAAGTGTTATCAGCAAGGTTGTAGATATATCTGCCGCCCTGCTTGTCAAGCAAGGCTCTCGATTAAATCAGTTGCAAGAAAACATCAATTGGATTGAAAGAGAATTGAGAAATATTGAATCTTACCTGAAGGATGCAGAGGCCAAGAAATCTGAAAGCCATAGAGTAGCAAATTTGATAAAGGACATCGAACACCTTGCTAGCGATGTGGAGGACATTTTGTACACGTTTCTTCCCCAAATAGAATCACGCAGATCAAGCAGCTTAATCAGAAAGGCCGCCGGCACTTTATGTTATGTCCGCACTTGCCGTAGTTTTGCTGTGGAGATTGAGAATATCAAGCAACGAGTTAATGAAATTGATCGCACCCGAAGAACATATGGCATTGACGATACTAATGGTGGCAGCTTCAACAGGTTTCAGTTGGATCCCAGAGGTGCCTCTCTTCATGTTAATGAACCCATCATCGTTGGTTTTGACAGACAAGTGGAAGAACTAAAGGCAAGGCTGTTAAGCACAAATTTGGAGTGCTGTTTCATCTCGATTGTGGGTATGCCAGGTTTAGGGAAGACCACTCTTGCAAAGAAAATCTTTAACAGTGTAAAAGAGAACTTTAAATGTTCGGCTTTGGTTTGTGTTTCTCAAGAGCCAAGTATCATAGATATTTTGAAAAATGTGGCAAAACAAGTCGGTTTGGAGAAGGAAAAGCAGGAGGAGAACTTGGAAGCCAATTTGTGTGCATTTCTACAGGAAAAAAGGTTTGTGATTTTCTTCGATGATATCTGGCATATTGAATCTTGGGATACTTTAAGACTTGGCATACCTACTCATTCTCAGAATGGTAGTAGAATAATTATTACTTCTCGAAATTCAAGTGTTGGAAGGTACGTTGGTAGTGAAAGTTCTTTGCATGTGTTAGAACCCTTAGACCCCGAAAATAGTTGGGAACTTTTCACCAAATTGATAGCGTCCTCTTTGACAAAAGGATTGGAAGACATTGGTAAGCAGATAGTAGAAAGATGTGGTGGCATGCCACTAGCCATTGTAGTCACAGTAGGAATGTTGCGGGAGAGAGAGACGAGTGACATTGAATGGAAATGGGTATTTAAGAACATAGGCCAAGATGATCAAGATAAATGTTCGAAAATCTTAGCCTTGAGTTACAAGGATTTACCGACTGCGCTAAAACCCTGCTTTCTTTACTTTGGACTTTACCCTGAGGACCATGAAATTCTAGCAACAGAGCTGATACATATGTGGACAGCTGAGAAATTCCTGCAAGGTATAGGCGATCTGGAGCCCGAGGATGTGGGAGAGGAGTATGTCAAGAAATTGGTTGCTAGAAACTTAATTCAAGTTGTTAGTGGAAGATTTGATGGAAGGGTAAGAAGTTGTAGAATCCATGATCTTTTGCACAGCCTTTGCATTAACCTGGCTAAAGAAAACAACTTTTTTTACACTCTTGATCATCTGAATTCGAGTTCTGCTATGAGAGCGCGCAGACTTGTCACTCGCCACCATAGTAATAACGAGTACTTTGCTTTAAATCTCAAGACACCTAAACTTCGTGCATTTTTTTTCTCTTCCAACAATAATGAGAAAATCCCGCGGAAACATCTGAAAAGTTTTCTTTCAGACTTCAGAATATTAGGAGTGCTGAGTCTAAGATTCAGCAAATCAGATTTGTACATTCCAAATGAAATTGGAAATTTGAGCCAGTTGACATGCTTCCGCCTAATTGGGTATTATGCCAAAGTGCCTTGCGCTATATGCAAACTTAGAAAGTTGCAGACCTTTGATATTCAAGAATGTGAGTTTGTAGACCTTCCTATTTGTATTTGGAAAATAAAAGAGTTGAGACACCTTCTCCTATGTGCCATCCGATTTTCATCATTCAATTGGGGATTTAGGTCTAAAACGGCAAAACTAAATCACCTGTTGGAAGTTTCTTTACCTTATCTCCAAACTCTAGTTGGGATTGAAGGGGAGCAATTGAATCCGATCTGGCTGCGCAAATTCCGAAATTTAAGGAAATTGGAAGTATTATATTGTCCACGAGGAATCATTGAGGAACTATCCTATGCAGAGCCGATATCAGCAAAACTCGAGAACCTGAGGCTACGATCATCAGTTTTTGGGCACGATCAAACTGTAAGATTGGATCTATCACGATATCAAAATCTTGTTAGGTTGCGTATAGGTTATGGGATGAAGAAGCTGCCTAATGCCGATGAATTTCCACCTAACCTCATCAAGCTAACAATTGCATCTACATATCTTGAGAAGGATCCAATGGAAGAACTGAAGAAATTACCCAAGCTCAAAATCCTGAAACTTGGATTTGATTCCTACAGAGGCACAAAGATGGACTGTTCAGGAGCACACAGTTTTCTTCAGCTCGAAATGCTGCAAATTCGAGGCTTGGAGGAGTTGGAGAAGGTTATAGCAGATGAAGAAGGAATGCCANCTCTACAAGAACAATTGATGGAGCATGGGAGTTGTTTGAAAGGATGGCTACAACTTCAGCTATGTGGTCTACAGATCGAGTAGCTCAGAAGAGAGCACCTGGGATGTATGAAGTAGATACTTACTCAGCACTGTCGGCGAAAATAGATTCCTTATTCCATAAGGTTGAAAGCATTTCACAATCCGCCACTGCTAAGCAAGTTATGAAGCAGAGTTGTGAAGAATGTGGAGCAGATCACAGTACTGCTACTTGCCCAATTCTGGCACAAGGAGTAGAACATGCAGAATTTGCACAATGGGGTCAGCGCCAGCAGAATAACCCACATTCAGAAACTTTCAATCAAGGCTGGAGAAAACACCCAAATTTCTCTTGGAGCAACCAGAATCAAAATAGACCACAAGGGTAATATCAGCAGTAAGACAAAAAGCCAAATTTAGAGGATAAGTTCGAGAAATTTATGACACACACCAATCAGTACATGGAAGCCAATGACCAATTTATGCGAAGGACGGAAACAACGCTTCAAGATCAAAGTGCAGCGATCAAGAACTTGGAGACACAAGTGGGACATATAGCAATTTCCATAAGAGGTAGAGCACCGGGAAACCTACCCAGCAATACTGAAGTTAACCCTAAGGAACATGCAAAGGCTATAACAACCAGAAGTGGAGTACAACTGCCGGAACCACATGTAAAAAGTTCGGGAGCCAACAAGGAATCAATGCCAACCTTGGAGGAAGAAAGTGTGGAGCAAACTGACAATGCAACAGGAGATGAGGTTAAGAGGAATTCCAAGACATCACAGGGTAAAAATGCAAATCCTGTTAACCCTCATGAGCCTCCTATTCCATTTCCACAATGGTTGAGAAAGCACAAAATGGATCAGCAATACAGTAAGTTCCTTGAAGTCTTCAAGAAACTGCATATCAACATCCCATTTGCTGAAGCACTTGTCCAGATGCCGAGCTATACAAAATTCTTGAAGGATATCCTTTCCAACAAGCGAAAGATAGAAGAACACGAAACAGTAATGTTGACTGAGGAATACAGCGCCAGAATCCAGAGAAAGCTACCCCCAAAACTGAAAGATCCAGGGAGTTTTACTGTACCCTGCACTATTGGAGACTGTTATTTTGATAAAGCTTTGTGTGATTTGGGTGCAAGTATTAATCTAACGCCTCTTTCTATTTTTAGGAAACTCGGCTTGGGAGAAGCAAAAGCCACAACAGTGACATTGCAGTTAGCAGATCGATCCCTTACACATCCAAGAGGAATCATTGAAGACATGCTGGTAAAAGTGGAGAAGTTCATATTTTCAGCTGATTTTCTTATCTTGAACATGGAAGAAGATAAAGATGTTCCACTCATTTTGGGGCGACCTTTCTTAGCCACTGGGAGAGCAATTGTAGATGTTCAGAAGGAGCAGCTGATATTAAGGCTTGGTGACGAGCAAATCTCATTCAACGTGTTCAAAGCAATGAAATTCCCTACTGAGGCAGACAGTTGTTTCCAGATCGATGTAGTCGACCGAATAGTTCAAGACACATTTCGGCTACATCATCCTTCCGATGCATATGAGGCATGCATTGCACATTCACAATCCACCCATTTTGAATCAAGTGAGATTGAGACATGTGCTAGGTTTTTGGAGAGTAACCAGCCATATATGCGCAGACGCTACTATGAAGAGCTGGGAACGAGAACTGCAAAATCAGTGCCATCTATTGTGAAACCACCCAAATTGGAGCTCAAACAACTGCCACCACATCTTCGATATGCGTACCTGGGGGAATCTTCTACACTACCTGTTATTATTTCAAACACTGTCAGTGAGGTAGAGGAAGAGAAACTACTTCGGGTGTTAAGGGAGAATAAAACAGCTATTGGATGGTTGATTGCAGATATAAAGGGGATCAGCCCATCTATATGCATGCATAAGATACTCATGGAGGAAAAATTTAAACCAAGCATTGATGGGCAGTGGAGATTGAATCCACACATGAAAGAAGTGGTTAGAGCTGAGGTATTGAAGTTACTCGATGCAGGCATTATTTATCCAATATCAGATAGTGCATGGATCAGTGCAGTGCAAGTTGTTCCCAAGAAAGGAGGAATCACAGTGATAGAAAATGAGAGAAATGAGTTGATTCCTACAGGGACAGTGACTGGATGGAGACTGTGCATTGACTACCGAAAGCTTAACTCAGCTACTCGAAAGGATCACTTCCCATTACCGTTCATTGATCAGATGTTGGAAAGATTGGCAGGGCATTCGCACTACTGTTTCCTAGATGGGTACTCCGGGTATAATCAGATTCCAGTGGCACCAGACGATCAGGAGAAGACCACTTTCACTTGCCCCTATGGCACCTTTTGCATACAGAAGGATGCCATTTGGATTATGCAACGCTCCCGCTACCTTTCAGCGCTGCATGATGGCTATTTTCTCAGACATGATTTAGAAATTCATCGAGGTATTCATGGATGACTTCTCTGTGTTTGGATCTTCATTTGATGAGTGCTTGGAGCATCTAAGTCTTGTGCTACAACGGTGTACGGAGACCAACTTGGTGTTGAATTGGGAGAAATGTCACTTCATGGTGCAAGAAGGTATCGTACTAGGGCACAAAATTTCAGCAAAGGGTATTGAAGTGGACAGGGCAAAGATTCAGGTGATCGAGAATCTACCACCACCTACCTAAATGAAGGGTGTTCACAGTTTTCTTGGGCACGCTGGATTCTACAGAAGGTTTATCAAAGATTTTTCAAAAATTACCAAACCTTTGTGCTGTTTACTGATGAAGGAGTCCACATTTGAGTTTAATGATGAGTGTCTGCAGGCCTTTAACACTTTGAAAGAGAAGTTGACTTCAGCACTGTAATTATGACACCGGATTGGAATCTGCCATTTGAACTAATGTGTGACGCCAGTGATTATGCTGTGGGAGCCGTGTTGGGTCAACGAAGGAATAAGGTGTTTCACGTGATCTACTATGCAAGTAAGACTTTGAATGATGCTCAGTTAAATTATGCCACTACGGAGAAAGAGCTTCTTGCTGTAGTCTATGCGTTTGACAAATTTCGATCATACCTTGTGGAGTCGAAGGTCATAGTCTACACAAATCATGCCGCCATCATATACTTGATGGAGAAGAAGGATGCTAAGCCACGCCTCATCCGTTGGATATTGCTACTTCAAGAGTTTGACCTGGAAATCAAGGATAAGAAAGGCAGTGAAAACGTGGTAGCGGACCACCTATCTCGGCTTGAGGACACAGAACAGGAAGAGACAGTGGAAATAAACGAGATCTTCCCAGATGAGCAGATCTTTGGTGTGATGGAAACACCCTGGTATGCAGACATAGTTAACTATTTAGCCAGGTCTATCATACCGCCAGATTACTCAAGTCACCAGAAGAAGAAATTCTTCGCGGAATTGAAGTACTACTTTTGGGAAGACCCCATTCTCTACAGGCGGGGGGCTGATCAAATCGTTAGGCGATGTGTACCAGAGGAAGAAGTGCCTTTGATATTAGAGAACTGTCACTCATCAATATATGTAGGGCATTTTGGTGCTTCTAAGACAGCGGCGAAAATTCTCCAATCAGGTTTTTACTGGCCCACACTCTTTAAGGATGCGTTTGAATTTGTAAAGAGGTGTGACCGATGTCAGCGCACGGGTAACATCTCTAGAAGAAATGAGATGCCTTTGCGTAATATCTTGGAGGTGGAATTATTTGACGTCTGGGGGATCGATTTCATGGCGCCATTCCCACCATCTTTTTCAAATCAATACATTTTAGTGGCGATGGACTATGTCTCGAAGTGGGTTGAAGCGGTTGCATTGCCTACAAATGATGGGAAAGTGGTGATTGAGTTTGTGAAGAAGAATATTTTCACCCGGTTTGGGACACCGAGAGCCATAATCAGTGACGGGGGCACACATTTCTGCAATCGTCAGTTCGAGCAGTTGTTATCAAAATATGGCGTCAAGCACCGCATAGCCACCGCATATCATCCCCAAACCAGTGGACAGGTCGAAGTATCCAATAGGCAATTGAAGCGTATTCTGGAAGTCACAGTTAACTCATCACGAAAGGATTGGTCAAAGAAACTGGATGATGCCTTGTGGGCCTACAGGACTGCATTCAAGACTCCTATAGGAATGTCTCCATATCGACTGGTTTTTGGGAAAGCATGCCATCTACCTCTCAAGATCGAACATCATGCTTACTGGGCAATGAAGAAGTTGAACTTGGATTTGAAGGCTGCAGGTGAAAAACGGCTGTTGCAACTGAATGAACTTGATGAACTCAGAATGGAAGCCTATGAGAACTCAAAGATCTACAAAGAGCGCACCAAGAAATGGCATGACATGCATATCCAGAGGCGTGACTTTCAAGTGGGGCAAAAAGTGTTACTGTATAACTCCAGGCTTAAGCTGTTTCCAGGAAAATTGAGATCGAGATGGTCTGGTCCATACACCATTACACAAGTATTTCCACATGGGGCAATTGAGATCACTCACGACAGCAAGGGGACATTCAAAGTCAATGGACAGCGGTTGAAGCATTACTAGGGCGGTGATTTCTCAAAGGACAAGTCTACCGTCCAACTTGGATCACCAGAATGACACATTACGGTAAAGTCGAGCTATCGACTATAACATAGCGCTTAGTGGGAGGCAACCCACTGTATCCTTTATTCTATTTTATTGCATTGCATTAGTTTAGGAATTTGTTTGATTCTAGTTTGTTTCGTAGGTCATCAATCATATTTTGCAGGATAGCCTAGGCATTTCACGTTTAATGTTGCATGAATGGGTGCTGAATGAAGTGTTTGGGTGTTCGAGTGTGTGTCACGCATTCCTATGTGCGAAGATGTTCGTTTTGGTTAAACTTTCAGAATGCGGGACAACAGTTATGAAAAAAAAATCGATTTTGGGCAAGTTTAAAAAAAAAAAATTTGACAAAAATGGCACTATTTTTATTTTATTTTATTCTATTTCTAAAAAAATAAAATTTCTATGCGATCGCATAGACTTGGTGTCTATGCGACCGCATAGACACCAACCGAAACCCAAAGCCCCACTTTGTTTATATCTATGCGACCGCATAGAATATAACTATGCGGTCGCATAGATCAAAAACGGCGTGGGTTTTTAACCCACGCCCGTATCTTCCTTTTTCATTTCCCATTCATTCCTCACCCATTTTCTCTCGCCCAACTTCATCTAGGAATCACTTTCCACACTTGTTTACACCACAATCACCTACACTACACAAGGATTTCAAATCTAGGGTTGACAATCATCTTGAAGGTACTCCTCTCCCCTATCTCCTCCTTTGTGCTCGAGTATTTCTATTGATTTTCTGCATTGTGGGGTGCTTGGGGAGTTGATGATGATGGAATGTATTGTATATAATTCAATTGTGTCATGGAGAAATTCGAATTTTTAGTTATTGGGTTTTAAATGGTCTTTTTAGGAATGCATGTCATGTGTTTGATAAATTGTCAAGTTGAATGATTTTTGGGTATTTTGGGTACCTTTGCCTTCAATTCATTTGATTCATGGGTGCATATGCGCGTGGTGATTGAATTTAGAACGAGGAACTATGTGAACTAATCAATTGTTGGCTAGTATATGAAGATCTCACATTGCACACAACATGTTCGATGAAATGCACATGTGTGGTAATCTTTTACATTCCCAAACATATAGCATGGCATTTGACTATTCGATGAATGAAGTAACTCACTGTGATTTATTACCAAACAATAAGACGTACACAACATTACCACACACATGTGCGAAAATAGCTAAGCCATAGCATGTCCAAGCACCCTCCGTCCTTTATTTTACACTACTATTTGACACACCAAACGAACTCCGATTGGGCTGAAATGTGAATATGTGCTAAACCTCATTGCATACTTCCATATGCCCAGAGGATGCTCTGGACATTCTTGATAATTCTCGATGATGCCCGGGGCCGAAGGTGTACACTCAACCATAACTCCAACCCTTTAACTATGGGCAC